ATAATCACGCAGTTCTGCGTCAACAATGCGGTCGTGCTTTGAACACAACCCTTAACTTTTGACGTAGACTACGTCTTACGGGAAGGTACTGGGGGTAAATCGAAAATATAATATTGCGATCATCATGAAAAGGTGTAAGGTTTTGAACGCTTATAACTGTGTCGTTTATAGATGAATTTAAAATCCAAATACACCAATCGATAGGAAATAACTCTTATGACCTGCTACAATAAACGCTTTTTCAATTTTCCATAAAAAAAACTGTTGAAAAATGTACAAATGAAAAGTGATAATTTTACCACTGTTTTCATGAAATAAATATTCTCCCCAAACCCAGTCATCATAATCGAGTACCATTTGGTTGCACATCGTGCTGCTTGAATCTGAAAAGTTATAAAACAGCACTGCTCTGCTCGAACCTTGCGTGTCGTTCCCGACGAGATCACTGGCTGCTGGCAGTGCCGTCGCCTCGATGGCTCAAGCGCTCCGAAATGGATGAACCACCTTGCCTGAATGATTGATGAATTTACGTGACGGTCGACCAGCAGATGAAATCAGAGACAATGTTATAATAAGAGTCCCGTGAAGAGTGAAGCCAGAAGTACCAATAGAACTGTCAAGCGAGGTACCAAACAAGCAAAGTAAATAAACATTATTGTTCCACTAACAGTGAACTACAAATATTGCATTCATTACTGACAATATTTTAGTAATTTTAGGTGGAAAACATTTCTTCGCTTTATTTAGTACATTGTGATATTTATAAGTTATACCAAGCACTTGTTTGAACATTTTTCAGGTTCTATAATCGTTTTTGTCTCCCAGAATCTCCGAGTTTGCCATTTACTCTGACAAAAAATAAATCACCAACAGTGCTGCTTGTTGGCAAAATTTTCTCTTAGTGGGACTTTTATTATAACATCGACTCTGATGGAAATGATGTGAAACATGATAATGACGTTTTGCTACCTGTCTAATCGTATGGAATATTGTTTAGTACATCATCAGTTTTGTAATTGCAAATCTGAAAACTAGGTGTCGCATGGTCAGTTTTACTTTTGCTTCATCAATAACGATCTCGCGTTCTACAAATCTCGATTACTTTTTCGAAAAGACATATCAGTTTTTGTAAACAACGCATTTTATCGTCGGTTTGGCGTAACTGATAGCTCGCCCACGCATATTAACACCACTATATCAGGTAGGGAAAAATTTACCCTGTCTGATGATAGAGTTAGCATGCGTTGTTACACTAAATCGACGATCAAATGCGTTGTTTACAAAAGCTGATACTTTTCTTCGAAAAAGTAATCGAGAAATATTTCGTGGGCTGTGTCCCAATTGCCGAGTTAAATTTAACATTTAACTTAAGTTATTTTCAATGTTCGAAAATCCAGGAAATTGATCGGTTTTCAAACAGAACTCAGCCACGGTTGTCAAAATTCAACTTCTAGTCGATCATAAATAACCACGCTCGGAGAGCAGGGTTATTCCATAACTCATCTGTCACTTTTAAACACGAGTTAAATTTAACTCGCCCATTGGGACACAGCTTTGGAAGTAAAATTAGGGCGTTAGGGATCATCCATAAATGACGTAGAATTTTGTTGACCAATTAACCCCCCTTCCCCCTCATAGCGTGTTTTGCTTTACCTAATACATGGCCGGTCACAACTTCTGAAATATGGGTCTGGGTTCAATCCCAGCCGAGGTCGGTGGGATTTTTCTGAGGCATAAAAATCTCTGGTCACGTCTTCCTTCGGAAGGGAAATAAAGCCGTTGGTCCCGGCCCATATGTGTTTGAATGGGTGCGATATCCTACGCAGGTGTGGAAGCTGCCTTCCTGCACATTCGATTGCCGTCAATGGATGGCAATCGATGTCCGTCGGTGATTGGCACTAGATTGCGGAACAGAGACCGACGTTAAATAAAGGAAAGAAGACAACTTCTGAAACCCCTCTCCCCCCTCAACTACTGCGTTATTTATGAAAGTTCCCTGAGCATTGGGCAACAAAGAAAATCAGCAGCACACACACACAAAATGGGTTGGACATTTTTGCGAAATTTCGTAATTGATCGTGAATATCTCGCGATCAAAACATTGAGCTTGAAATCCCTCCATTTAACTCTCGGGACATCTTTGATCTATTGATTAAATTAAAAATATACTATATTTTCATTTTATATAATTTCGAAGTTTTTGTGAATGTTGGGGAACTGGTTATCCGGACTAGTGGTGGACTCGCGGCGGATAGTGTCATTCGGGTGTGGTTTTAACCGTAGCCAACAATGTGAAGTAATGATGGAACGCGGTACACTGGACTACTATATTCGGAACTTTATTTACTGCGATAGAGTTTTAGTCGGTAGCTTTATTGTACTGATTTTATTTCAGAATAGAGTTTGTGTGTGCCCTATATGGTGTGTGAGAAATCCTATCTACGGGCATTCTGCTCTGCTTTGTAGCATGCAAAGTAAATTGAGTATGATTGCCCTAATTCAACTGGCGCAAATTCATTTAGGGTAAATTTTATAATTATTGGAAGTGCCTTAACAGTGAACACAAATCCATCCAGAAAACGGAGTATTTCTGTCGTGAAAAAAAAAAGATTTCCCTACACAGATTACAGATTTCTGTACCAAGCACTAAAATTATCAGACGGTACCTCTATTTATGCTTTTAGATAAGCTATGGAAGTCCATCCTACTTGGAAAATTATGCTATAGAACGGTTTATAAAATCCCAGATTTTAGGCTGATTGGGGCGAGTCATAGCAAGTCGTTCGATTGCAAAATTGTGTTGGAGGGACTTGCATTGCTTATCTTTTAGCATAAATAGAGGTACTGAAATTCAGCAGTGAGCGTTCGAAAGGGCGCACCTGAATTTAACCAAGTTTTGCTAAGTAGGAAATACAAAATATGTACATAGGACCAAAATCATAGGTTACTTCTACTGTATTTTAAATCAATATCTAGGTAAATGCACGAGAATTTCACTACACAGCTTAACGTAGTCTACGTCAACCATGCGGTCGTGTCTTATGCACAACCCCTAATTTTTTTTTATGAAAGATGAAACGAGGTACTTTTTTCATAAAAATGTGCAACTTAATGTGTTTTAAAAAGTTGTAGAAGACAATTTGCGCGTGTAAATTGAAACAAAATATAAATGCTGTAAAATCTATTTTTATTGAGACACCCTAACATAAATCATAAAAATTGCTGCGGAAAAATAATCAAACAATTCACCACTATGCCTTCTTTAGCAAAGTTTCTTTAAATTACCTTATCTATTTTGCTTGCTTGCTATTCTATCCATTCCAAGCGACAGAATTGTCCAAAACGGATTAAAAACGTTTTTTTCAACGCTCCAAACTTCTCAGGTGAGTGTGACTATTGTCGGCAGCCTTTTTTTCCTCGGCAACCTTTCCATTTGAACTGCGTGCTAACCAGCTGTTCTATTATGGGCAACCTGTCGTATTTTGAATTGCGTATGTTTCATTTGCAGAAAAACCTTGCAAAACAAGTTTGGACAGCCACACAAATGTAATCAAATTGATGTTGAAAGACTAAGGAATCGGTTAAATGCATTTAGCAAAGTGTTTTGGTGAGGAAATACTGCGAAATTTACTTACAAATCCAGAAACAAATATGTTAAATTTTTAATTTTAATCATTTTTAGGACTACCCTATTTGCATCATTCATCAACATAACTTAAGGCCTTTTTATAAGAAACAACTTCACAAGAGACATTATGCTGGTAGATTTGAAATTTTCACCCACCAGCACCACCACCACCAAAGTGATCCCGAGCGGAACAATCAGAGAGCAACCACCGTTTCCATGTTTGATTGAAGATCTTTCCGTACGATCAGTGCTGAGTTGTGAAACAGACTCTTGGATGATGAGGAACTTAAAAAGATGAAAGATGAATGCGAAAAACTCATATTTTTGGAACAAAGGACAGGGGTGATCAAGTGAATCAATCGACATCGATGGTTGCTGAATTAGTTGTATATTTTAAATATTACAATTTGCCTGTTTGATATCACTTCATCATTAATTCTACCAAGTTCCTGGAGCTGGAGCCACATTCAGCGACTTCTGGTTGACGATGTGTCCGGGGAGTGGAGCCTTGTGCACGGCTCCACGGTTAGCAGCCACATATGAAGCGGAGTGATGAACTGGAGCAGCAAAGGTCACAGCTGGAACTTGATGATGATGATGATGACCCCAATGGCTATCGTAGGCAGTGACGGCCGCTGGAACGTGATGAGGATATGAGTTGTAGGCAACTACTGGAGCAGGTTGAGCATAGGCGTGGTGAGCCCAGCTGTTCAGGTCATTCGACTGAACAACGGTTGGTCCATGATGGGCAGTGTAGGTCACAACTGGAGCAGCAGAGTCATAACCATATCCATGATGGGTGTAGACCGATGGAACGTAAGTTGCTTCAGTGGCAACGGCGAGAACCACCATGACTACAGCTGCGATGCACTGTATTACAAAAGTATTATCAAAATTGAGTCATATAAATTGATGAAAAATATAAAATACAACCTACCTTCATGATTGCTGTTTTGGAGTTTGTGTTGTAACTAGTGAGCAAGTGAAGAGCACTGACTTGATTCTGACTCAGTTTGGGAAAATTGGATCAATATATACCCAAAGCTTCGAAGCAAAGTGATAGTGGAATTGAAATTGCAATTGTATATCGACTTGGATAGACTAGCCATCGGAATTTTTATACCACAATTGTACTTTCAGATTGCAGGATGTGGTGAAGGCACTGATCCTCCTACTCGGGTGACTATCATTTTGTGGTCTTCCTTGCTAATGTACCATAATCGGTGATCCATGAAATCAAATTTTTCAGCACTTCGCCTTCAGCGGAAGCATCAATGTGCATAAAATCGATCAATTGTCACCGACATAGATACAGTTTGTACTCAGCTCTTCAATTCATCGCAATAGTGCACTTACTTGTGGACCGACCAAAATGAAATCCTTTATCGCCCTCGTTATCGCGTCACTTACCGTGGCAGCTCAAGGGTCTTATCTTCCAACCATCAACACCGCTGCGGTGGCCTGGCCCTACTCATCGGCAAGGAACTCGTGGAACGGCTGGAACACCTGGGACAATCAGCACCACCACGACGACGGTCTGGTGGCCTATCCATACGTGAACGATTGGTCCTCGGCACCAGTTGCATCTGCTTACGGGCCATCCGGTCTGTATGGACACAAGACCGTTGTTCAGGAAAATCTCGGTGGCCATGCCTACCCGTGGGGTCTGCCATGGGGAACCTACGGTGCCGGAGGATATGGAGGTCACCACGGATGGGGTAAGAGCGTTGTTCCAGTGTCGAAGATGATTGCCGCCACCCCCGGATCGCTTCACGTTGCCCCGGTGCCAGTTGGTGGGAAGGAGGATGCTTACTAGATTTATTCATGTTGAAGAAATAAAGAATGTGGTACTGGAATTGAATTATGCTGTCTAGTAATTTATTTTAAAAATCACTATCATAGTCATAGTTGGGAATCGGTCATCTCGGTATAGAATTGCGGGGATCCAACAATGCTGACTTTAATTAAAGAGCATTTAAGGTGGCTTCAAAAAACTACTTCTTGAAGGTTTCTAATTTCTTTGACCCACACAAAAAAAAATCATCATTCGCATAGGCGTATTCAGTGAAAACGCAAAACTTGATAGGTTCCAAAAAATATAACTCAAAAACGAAGAAAACACATCGCTGATGTTGTGATATGTTGTGTAAAAAAGCTAAAATTTTCAAGAAAAATATAAAAAACATATTGCGTCCATGGTCTACAAACCATGAAATCCAGAAAAAAAAATACAATCAATGTTTTTCAATACAAAAAGCAATTTTCTTTTATTATAATTAATTTTTGCTCTTAAACGTATTTTTAATGCCCTCTTCATTTTTGAAAAAAAAAATCGTTCAAAATTTGTGAATTTTCGAAATAATTGATGGAAATGGTCGCCCTAACGACAAAAAAATATATATTTATATTTTGCGATAAGGAACGAAACTAACAATTTTTACGAAATTCTGAGAACCACTTTATCGTTTTGCTATGGAATGGCTGTATGCAGCTATTTCTTTCGCGTACCTGTAGTTAGTTGGCGGCTACAATTGTTTGTAGGGTAGCTCCCAAAAATTATTCGCTTCAATTCCTGTAACTCTAGATGTAGCATAGTTGGAGATACTTAACGACAAATATCAGATGTAAACTGTTCATTTCTTTTAAGGGGTGGCTTTCTCAGTCTTTTAGTAGAAGCGATTAATTTTTTACGTTCCCGACGTTTCGAACGTTTGGTTGCGGCCTTTCTCAAGGGTTGCTAAAAAACAATGTATTGCACATATAACATGTAAATTAAAATAATTGCACAAATAGTTAACTCACTAATGTCTATCGTTTCCCGTTACAAACTTTTACGCATCGACGATAGCGTAAATGAAGATTTTTCATGACCTGTCTAATTTAATTTGTATGGTGTATTGAAGTGTTATTTTGTTGGTTGATCATACTGTTACTTACTGTTAATTTGTAGGAAATTTTTAAAGTGATCTTTTGCACAGCACTACAACGTTTGTTTAAAATAAGATGGTGGGACCATCAACAAAGGGGGTCGCCGTCATTATTTATTTACGGTGCGTCATGTCATCATTGTGAGCCAAATGAAATTGAAGTGTTTGATCAGATGGTAACTCAATTGTGTTTCTTCTGCGTGTTGTTGACTTTTTAATTGCGTGTAACAGACCTGCATATGTGCGGTTAAGCCCTTGTACATCTGTACGGTGGTTGACTGTGTTAGATGTGTGTGCTATGTGGCATGTTTCTAATATTGGTAATGTTGATACCTTGTTTGTTTTGCCCAGAATTTTTGGTTGCGTTAGATTGAACATATGGGATTCTTCGATGATGTGCTTGATCATGGCTGTTTTTCCCTTAGGCTACGTATCTCTTCATCTGTGTTCGTGAGGTTGTTTTGGATTAGTTTTGTCTTCTTTTTTTTCCTTTATTTAACGTCGGTCTCTGTTCCGCAATCTAGTGCCAATCACCGACGGACATCGATTGCAATCCATTGACGGCAATCGAATGTGCAGGAAGGCAGCTTCCACACCTGCGTCAAAACACACATGGGCCGGGACCAACGGCTTTACTTCCCTTCCGAAGTAAGACGTGACCAGAGATTTTTATGCCTCAGAAAAATCCCATCGACCTCGGCTGGGATTGAACCCAGACCCATTGGGGTGCTAGAAAGCAGTCACGCTTGCCACTACACCACCGGCGCCGGCTTGGATTAATTTTGTGTATTGGTTTATATTGCTTCGATGTCCACTGATTCTTGTTTTCAGTTGGTTTCTCGTCATCCCAATATACGTTTTCTGGCAGTCCATACAGGCTAAGCTATAGATAACGTTGCGTTGGTCGAGATCATTAATTGGATCTTTGACCGGTCTAAGTATGTTTTTGGTGTTGTTTAGTGTTCTGTAGGCGACTTTTACCTGTGAGTAATCATTCTTGAGGAGGCTGGCTATTGTGGGGCTGAGTTGAGCGATGTACGGGATGCTTCTGAATTGTAGATGGTGTTGCTGGTTTGTTGCTGGATTTTCATCAGACGGTGTTACTGTTGGATTGTTTGTTTGGTTTTGTTGTGAAAAAATCTGGTGGTGGTGTTGATGTTGTGGTGTAGTTGATTTTGCTCGACTTATCATTCTGTTAAAAAGCGATGATGGATAGTTGTTCCGACGTAGTTGGTGAAAAATTATGTTGTATTGTTGTTGATGATTTTGGTTGGTGGTGATTTTGGTTAGAGATGTGACTCGTTTTACGAAATTATCAGCGACGTTTATCTTCATGCTAGTGGGGTGAAACGAGTGGTAGTGCAATAGCCGTCCTGATGAAATTGGCTTTGAATACCACTGGGTGGATATGGTTTGGTCCGGGTTCCGAATGACTAGGGTGTCCAAGAAAGGTAGTCGGCATTGATCCTCTTTTCGACAGTGACCTGTAGATATTGGTTGTATTCGTTGAAAATGTTCTGTGTATATTCGATTTGCTCCTGTGGTAGTGCCAGGATGAGATCATCCACGTATTTTTTGAGAACTGGAACTGGGAAGTTTAATTTCTTGGTGACAGTCCTTAGGAGGATTTCCATTACTAATTCTGCCAGAATTGGGGAAAGAGGACTGCCCATAGCTGTTCCAAATTGTTGTTGGTAGTATCTGTTGCGAAACTGGAAATAGCAACTGGCGATACAGAAATTAACCATCTCGAGGAAAAAATCTAGGTTTATGTTGGTTGCTTTCCCTATAGTGTCCCAGTCCATGATGATATCGTGTTCGACTAGTTTCTTCGGTATATTCGTGAAGAGGGAGACTACGTGGGCAGGTGGCCGTTTTGCTTATGCACTTTAAGATCGTTTAACCGTTTGACTATTGCATTGTTCCTTTGTTGTATTGATTGTGTCGGATCTTTTGATAGCACTTTGTAGGTGGGATCATTTAGTAACAGTGTCATTTTATGATAGTTCTCAGTTGTGTACATAACCACCATCCTCTTTCCTTTGTCTGATTCCACAATCACGATATCTTTGTGTTCTTCCATAAACTGTTTTGTGGTCGTTACAGCGTGTCTGCAGAATTTCGAAAGAAGATTGTCCATTTGTCTTGACCTTTTTCTAGATATGTGGTTTTGTATAGCTGTGGATATTCGGCATCTGTTGTGATCGTGAATGGCCTTATAGGGTGAGATGTTGAGAATAAATTCAATATCGGCGATCATGTTTGTGCAATTATTTTTAATTTATATTTTATGTGTGCAATACATTGTTTTTTAGCAACCCTTGAAAAAGGCCGCAACCAAACTTTCGAAACGTCGGGAACGTAAAAAATTAATCGTTTCTACTAAAATACTGAGAAAGCCACCCCATAAAAGAATTCCAATCAACTAGTCGAATCCACCATTAGCGTAAACTGTTCATTTTATACGATAAATGAGGAGATGAAAGTATAGAGTTGATAGTCCCGTTCGAGTACGGCAGTGTGAAAATAATATATAGAGAGTAGAAGGGAAGCAAAGGTAAATTCTGAGGAAGGTACGAATTGGGTTGATTCTATCCTTTATCACACTTCCCTGTTGAGAAAGGATGGTGAGGTATCTCCCCCGCCAGCACTGGCAAAAGAGATGATCACCGATTTGCTCACGTAGCTTCGATGTGTGCAAACAGTTTTATCGATTGTTTCACTCTCAAGTTGTCATATGACGTAAGCATCTAGTCGATAGGTTTGGAAATTGTACCTGTTGTTACCTCTATCGCTGTATGTGCTCCTTTCATCGTCAACTCAACGATCTCGAGGAGACACGAGTAGGAGAAGTGCTGCTACTGTACCTTTCGACCAATGACAGTAGATTAACTAGAGATTAACCCGATTCATACCCGATGTTGACCTTTGCTCGCTTTCTACTCTCTATATACAATTTTTACACTGCCGTACTCTAATGGAACTATGAACTCTTTCATCTCCTCATCTCAGTGTTCACTCGGCTGTCGACAAAAGCAGACCACTCTCGATGTGTGCTACGCGATCGTCTGTTTTCTCGGCAGCAACCATTGTGTGGTCCTCCTCATTGTTCTTCATCAGCAGTTCTTTCGGTCGATGCGTCGTCGACTTTGCAAAGCAACCGTTTCGTGATGAGTGTGTGAGTGCTGACCACGTTTTGCGTCCATTGCTGCAATGGACGCGCTCTGACCCTCGTTGGCGTACAACAATTTGCCATACAATGAAACTACTGGAAGCGGCTCCAGTTCTGATGGAGGAGGCTTTTTGGATAGCGGAAGATAAAGTGTTTATTGTGTTGTACCTTTTGACTATATATTTAAGATGTATTGTATAGTGACCAAGAATCCTCGGCTCTGTTAAGTTAATTCGGTTGAGCCTTATCAAATAAATTAATAAACAAAAAAAAAAAAAAATCTCCTCATCTATCACATTAAACGAATACTTTAAGCCTAATATGTGTTATTAAGCATCTCCAACTATGTTAATCGTTAACTTCACGCATGGCGTACTACAAACATAATTAGTTAAAGTTCAGATGTAAGAGTAAGATGAATAACGTATAACGAAATTGATAACTTGGCTCTATAAAGTTTATTCGATTGAGCCTACACAAATAAATTAATTTCCTTTAAAAAAAAACTCCCTAAAGTGGTTGCTGCAGAAAACCAAGCACTGAATTTAATTTTCAGGTCTGCACGATTTCTGGATATTTAGATTAGCGCCTTCGAAAACGCGAAGTGGAAGGATTCCGTCAATCTTGCCCTTCAAATGCACAGTTCTACGTCAGTCTAAAGAGCAAACAATGTATTGTAATGCCACAAAAACTTCCCAACATCGTATTTAAGAAAAACATATATAGGGTAGTTGTACCAATTATTGCCTATGCAATTCATATATGCCACAATTTGGGACACACCACAATAGGAACGTATAGCCATTATTGGTTCAAACAAAGTAATTTCTAGTAGAGGACGCCTATTTCGAAGTGTTTCAAACAAGCTCAAACCAAGTGACTTCATTTGTCATAAAAATGGATTGCATTTTTATTGAAACATTGCTCAGTTGTACGTACGAATCTCTCAGTTGACGCTTCGATGGCACTGAGTGCCTTCATAGCGTTTGCATTTGCCTTATCTCCTAATGAGTATATCACTGTTTTTTTTAGTATTCGAGTTCTGCGTGTTTTTTCTCCTGATTGCACAATTCGTCCTCGGAAGGTGTTCATCGCAATTTAGGGTCGGTGGCCAATTCGATTCTAGTGACTAGTTTTGATCATCAGAATTAGATGGTTCCAGGAGCTGGAGCCAGATTCAGCTGCTGCTGCGAAACGGCATGTCCGGCGAGTGGGGCTACATGAACGGAGCCACGGTTGGCGGTGACCGAGACGGCTCCTGGGACGACTCCAGCGTGGTGGGCAACCGAGCCAGCTGGGACATGTGGGGCGGCAAGGTACGGGGCAGCAGCATGGTAAGCTGGAACGGCCGCTGGCCAGTGAGCGGCAGCAGGCCAGTGGGCCGCAGCCGGCCAGGCAGCAGCACCAGGCCAGGCACCAGCATGTGGCCATCCAGCATGGGGCCAAGCAGCAACTGGAACGGCAGCAGGCACGGCGGCAGCATGTGGCCAGCCCCATGGGACCACTCCGGCTTCGGAAACGACGGCCATGGCCAAGATGACTGCAGCGACGATGCACTATTTGGGGATAGATAAAATGAGGCAAATTAAAATCTATCAAATCCTTCCAGAAAAACCCAAACTACCTTCATGATTGGATGTTTGTGGTTAAGGATTGGAACTGTTCGGTTGAACGTTAGATTTAATTATGATACTTATCCGATCCAAACAGTTTCTATTTATACCAAAGTCATGGCACGATCTCGAGTTCTCGGTTAGCGTTCTAGCCAACCCATATGGTTCCAGTAGATCGGTCCTCTAAAGGCAGGCGAGAGTATCTCTCCCGTCCAGCCACCGCCGCGTTCACATTCTGCTGCCAAAGCGATGAAGAAAAAAAATTATCTAACAATAATCATGTAATATACATTCCTTCGCTTGATGTGTGTTCCCGGCCCGTAATTAATCGACCTCGATCTGTACTCACACACATACTGCAGGTTGGTTAGTGGGTACACCTTCGCCGGGTGAACTCTCACTCTCGTTGAGTTCCACGATGCAATTGTTGTGCACGGAGGCAGAATGCAAAAATGTGTGGCACCATTAAGGAGGAAAAAGGAGTTTCCACGCTGCGATATAGTGTTGCAGTTTAATACCATTTCGGTATGACCGACATGCATGTGCTATGATCCATGAAACAGTTGCCAATTCAAGCGAACAATTTGTCCTCGCTTTCGAATGCTGTTGGAAATTCCGAGCTAGAGCAACTGAAGTTCCAAAGGTATCAAATTTCTGATATTTTGACTTCGAAATTTACGCAAAAACATCCCTCAACTTGGCACCCCGCCGAAAAAAAAATACATTAGCAAAGAAAAGTATTTCAAGTTCACTGATCTATTTTCAGCTCGCTGGACCCCATATGCATGGTGCACTCGGAAAACCGACAACCAGTCCCATATGGTCGAGCTTCAAACCGGCTGTAAACACTCCATGTAAGCCCATTGAGACTTTGGCGTTTGTTGTTTTTGTTGTTTTTAGTCACTGATTCTGCAATGGAGAGTAGGTGCATAATATTACAGCATTCTAAGCGATCGCTCAAGACACCCTTCCGTCGTTGGCCGATCGTCGTCGTCGTCGTCGCCTTCGTCGAAAGGGATCAAGAAGCAGGGAAGGGTGGATCGAACCCGAGAGAAACCAATTCCAATTCGATCGAATGCAATTGTGCTAACGATTTTCTAGCCAGTATATAAACGTGTGCTAGGTCAGCAGTCTGATCATAATTAATTCAGGTGTTCTACCGCAACCTACTTCCTTGGAAGACGAACGCAACCAGCTAACAGACCAATCATGAAGGTAAGTTTTATTTTGCAAGCGTTTTCCCTTATCATAAATTACAATATCTATTATCAAACTCCCAGTGCATGGTAGCTGCAGTCATCTTGGCTCTGGCCGTCGTCTCGGAAGCTGGAGTTGTTCCTGCCTGGCCCTACGGAGTGGCCCACTGGGGAGCCCCAACAGTGATCCAGTCCAACGTGCTGGCCCATCCATACGGAGCGCTGTCTCACGCGGCTGTCCATGCTGTCCATGCTGCCTACCCAGCTGTTCACGCCGCGCACTGGCCAGCTGCCGTTCCAGCTTACCACGCAGCTGCCCCGTACCACGTCGCCCCACATGCCCCAGCTGGCTCGGTTGCCCACCACGCTGGAGTCGTCCCAGGAGCCGTCTCGGTCACCGCCAACCGTGGCTCCGTTCATGTAGCCCCACTCGCCGGACATGCCGTTTCGCAGCAGCAGCTGAATCTGGCTCCTGCTCCTGGAACCATCTAAATTGGAGAACACCGGAATCGGGAACGCCTGACCCATGCTAGTCACCGGAACTGAGAAGGATTCCTGTTTGATGATTCTCCATGATCTACTTTCTCTACACTGTCTATCACTCTGTTGTTCAAAAGTGCACTCTATCGCGCATCTTATTTAAGTCCATCCAAGTTTTGGAACGAGAAGTGAATAAAATTGTTTTCATTGTTTCTTCATAAAAAAAATGCTGTTCTTATGATTCATATAGGGTATACGTCCCTAACCTCGGTCTAATATGCAGCCATCGATTACGTTTTTAATCATAACTCATCAATGAATTTACCTGCAAACGATATTCTACTGCTAAATGGTATGCTTAGATATGCTTATCATGTCGTTTGCTATCAGAAACCACGAAAAGTTGAAAAACTTACTTTTTTTAAGACAATAACTCACGAGGGAAATGTATGTAATATGGGTCTATTGTCCCCAAATTGGGTCTATTTATGGATGCAACTTCGTCCTATCTTGTTTGATCCTCAAAAAAACGCTCTTGGTAACGTTTTCTGATGTATTTTTTTTTATCACTATCACTGTTAACTTAATGCTCTTCATTCCTCAAAACATTTCTTAGAGAAAATTTTACGAAAACTACATTAAATCACTCAATTTAAAAATTAAAAATTAAAAATTTCGCTTATCGTCTTTTGACCGCAGAATATCTAAATCAGAACATTGTGATGTTCATTATACAGGTTTGGCAGAAAAAATCTCCCTTCCTGTTCGTTCCTTATCATCCAAATGCAAAACAACATTGTTGACGTTACTCTTATTGCTATATGCTGTCAAATGAATTTCATGGGCCATAGTTAGGAACATAGAAAAGAAATGTGTCCCTAAAGTTGGGTCCATGTTTTACTTGTGAAAACGTTGTTAAACAATTAAAATAAACATAAAATATTCAAACAGCAACTGTAAGTTTTACGTCTAGTGTGTATTATCAGGTAATTCCAATCAATAAATGCCATAATCAGGCCATTTGATGATCGTCAGTCAACCTTCCCATCTTAACCTTATAAGTCATGGCGGCTAAAAACTCCGAACATTGTGATATTCTCAACCAGTTTTATTACTTACGAGAGCTGAAAATGTATTGAAATGTTGTGATATAAATTGATTTGTGTGTGGTACACATTTATCAACCATCAGTGATCAATATTTTCTTTATTTTTTGTGTAATATTCCTTAATTAATTATTTATTTGCGTGATAGGCCGAATGAAAGGACTAGACCCACATTACATACCGTAACCCTATGCGTCTGTTTTATTTTATTTATTTTATTTTTTTTTTGGGAAACTAGACAAAAATGGTTTTGTCATAAATCGACTTTCCGAACGATGCCAAGTTCAATCAAACTGTTCTGAAACACCAAAGCCTTCCCCCAGATAACAGTTGTTCTTGGCAACGGTCGTCCCTTTGATGACCTCGCTCATCCCGCAGGCATACCAACCTGTGGAAACTAACGATTTTAAATTGGCTCAGTACTTGACTAGCCCATTGGTCCCAAGCAAATCGATTAACGTTCCCCATTCTAGTCAAAATTCTAGTACTACACAATGTTTGTTTTGATTCGCTATGAAAGTTTGAAAGATAAAATGAGGGGTTCATGGATGTTCCTATGTTTCGAGGGGTGCATCGATTAGCTTGAGATCGAAGATAGTACCAGAGCTGAGCCAAAAAGTTGAGCACGTTTCTTCGGGACCTACTAGTCTTAGTCGTTACCTCTATGGGCATAACGCGTTGACTTTTGACCGTTTTTTAGCTGATGTTTTGAAAATATCTGCGCTATGACGAATTCATGTGAGAATTTTGCCGGCAATTCACGGTTGAAATTATGGAACCAAAAATTTGATTGTGTCAACGAGATGTGCCCATTTGTATTTTTGGCACACTGTGCGGAGTGACCCCTTGCAATTTAGGCGCTTTCGAAGGGAAGAAGTTTTGCTCCGTGATAAATACAAACACTGGAATTAAAAGAATTGTGTGTCTAGACTAACATTTGAAAAGGGCGTAACTCCAAAACGACCATATCTAGAAAATCGCTTCAGAATTTTGATGACCTAAAAATTAATCCAATTTCACGATTTTCCATTTTCTGGATGATTTGAATAAGCTTGACATATAGTTAAAAGTGTAATCTATCATCATGCATCACTAAAAACTTAAAAAAAGTTTTCTTTGTCGTGAAATTGAGAATAAAACATTATACACCCTGATAATTTCTTACATGTTGTTACCCCCCCTTCCATCTTTTGAACTGCCAACACTGGTGATACGCCGTGGAAATCAACGCTGCCATTTATACAGATTTATCTGTATTATACAGATTTTTTAATCTTAATACAGACCCGATACAGAATACAGATTTATCACAGATTTTTAAATTACAATACAGATTTATACAGATTTTTATAAAATGCTTGAGAAAAAAAATCTATATCAAAATAAGTTATCATGCAGTTCTTACTAATATCAATGTATCTTATAATTTTGATATCCTTCGCATATCTTTTAGCTCTCATTTTTGTTCTGTTAGCCATCAACTCCATCAAAATGAAATCAATTTGAGTTATCAAGAATAATGAAAACATATAATTCTTGTTTTCATTTTGTTCTCACCCTCTGCTTGGGAACCTATCAAATTTCCATCGACAATTAATCATGTTATGGTGTTTTTGACAGCATTCACAACCAGAGGACCAACCGCTTTCGGATGCATATGGAGCTGGTAGTAAACGATTTGCGATTGTATGGGGATTTAAAGTATTAATTGAATATTTCCAATATAAGCATGTATGTTAAATACAAGAAAAGTGCCCGAGCACATTGAAATGGTACAAATACAAGTACTCGTAAACATGTTACTTGCATTGAAAATGTATTTCGTAAGAAATTGCGGATTTTCTGATATTCTCCATACTGCAAAAATGAATTTACCAGCACTGGCGGGGCGACATCTCTCGACTTTTCGGTGTAACTACCACACAAATGATGTAATTAATTGTATTCATCTATATTAAAAATATCAAATAGTAATGAACTCGTGCACTTTTTTGCATTTAAAACTGCTTATCAGGAAGATAATGAATAGAAACTAAAATCTCCATACACTTTCAAACGGCTTCATATCACTCGATATCACAAATGGCGCAATTACATCCCGTATGGTTAGTACGATAGCCCGAATAGGTGGTTAAGCACTTTTTATGGTTATTTTGTATGCACTGTATTTGTAAAACAACAAAACATGATTAATTAAGAAAAAAATCGTCAATACAGAAAATACAGATTTTTTAATAGAGTGGATACAGATTTTTTATAAAACCACCTGGCAGCTCTGGTGGAAATACACCCTCGGGAGTTATTGTTTGCTGTTCCCCCTTGGTTCTTCGTTCGCAAATTTTGGAGAGTGGAATTACGCCCGGAGTTTTTTTTTTTTTTTGGTCTTCTTTTTGTTTGTTGTTTACATGTGAAATATCAATCGGATACATTTCAAATGAATCGGGGGTGACTAGATACTACAGAATCAGTACGTTTGGCATATTAAAATAATATAATTCGTAGTGCTGGTGCAAGGCGTAACGACCAGGTGCATCATAGAGTTGAAAGTTGGAAATACGCCATGTAATAAGAAACGCTTTTGATGATTTGAAGTGATATTTTATTATACATTTTCGTCTTTATCGAGTAGTTTGTGAACTGTTCTATCTATGTGTGGCAAAATATGGTTTGTTTACATTTTGTAGCTACGCCGTTTTCAAATGTTAGTCTAGGTATATTTACCCAAGAAACATGCAAGAACTTTATAGAAGCCAGGGAAGTTCAGAGCTCTTTATGGAAACTTATAAAACTTCACGAAAGCTTTGAAAACGTCAAGGATATTTCAAGAACTTTAAGTAATATCTGCAATATTAAGAGAAGTTTAAAAACATCAGGTAAGTTCCGTGAGCTCCAAGAAAGTTCAAATCTTAAGAAAAGTTTAATGATCTTTAAGGGTAAGCTCTTAGAACTTTCAGGATAATTCCATGAACTTTACAAACATTTTGAGATCTTAGATGAGCAAGATGACAATATTTTTATCTTAAAAGAATAGTGTAGCGATAAGTTTTGGAGCTCATCCCAGCAGGCCTGGGCTCAATCCCAGTCGGCGCCGCCGGGAGGTTCTGAGGCATAACATCTCTGATCACGCCTTCCTTCCCCGGTTCATGAGTTGATGGGTCGATAGATAGGGTCCAAGAGTAGGAGCTGCCTCCCTGGCGTCGGAAGAATTGGCACATAGTACGGAAAACAAGATCGACGGAAAGCAAAATCACTGGAATTTTTTTTTTTTCTAAATGTAGGTATCTTTCAAGAACTTTAAAAGACTCAAGAAAACTTTGAGTAACTTAAAGATCCTAAGGAAAAGTAACAGAGCTACGGGAATATTTTGAGAATTTCAGGGCAGTTCCATGAACATCCGGAAAAATTTTATGAACCTTAGAAAAACCATTCGATTAACTTCAGAAGAATTGCAAAATATTACATATAGGAAATGGATGTAATGTCGGCCTAAATGCACCTAATTTGTGCCCATACATAAATTCAGAAATCAACTAAATTTTCAATAGTGGCCAAAAATATCCTTTAGTACTGTCCCAATTAGACGTTCATCTAGATAAAATTGATAAATAGCAGATTTTTTGCGATGTTCCCAATCTTAGATCCATAGGCCAACATTAGAGCCATTTCCCCTATGTTACAAGAAAAAAGTCTAGAAAACCTAAAAAAAGTTGACGTCACAAGTCCCATGAACGTCAGGAAAGTTTCGGGAGCTCTAATGAAGCTATGAAAACTGTTTTGTTAGTTACATTAACCACAGAAAAATGCGGGAGCCTTCAAGAAGTTCTGAGTACTTTGAGGGAATTCAAAAAATTATGAAGACTTCAGGGTAGTTCTGAGAATGTCTAGAATTAAGGTAAAGTTTTTAGGTCCTTTTGTAAGGTTTCGATATCTTCAGAGCAGTTCCATAGGTTTTACGCAAATTTCGAGAACTTTAGTGAAGATCAAAAGCTTCAGGGCAGTTCCATTAAGCTTGGATAAATTGCAGATGTTGTACAGAAGTAGCCATTTGAGTTTTATAATCTTTAGGGCAGTTCTGAGAACTTCAGTTCAGTTCCATGAATAACATAAAAATTGCAAGAATTTCAGAGAAATTTCTATAGGTTTAGGTAACATGTTCCAAAAATTAAAAATATCCCAGAGATCATCAGGAAAGCATAGAGAATGTGTGATAAAAATTCGGATTTTTTCAGAAACTTCGAGAGATTCACTGAGCAGCAGAGAACTTCGGGAAGTTAAGAGATCTTTTAGACAGTTGTATCAAGTTCAAGATAATTCCAGGAGCATCATCAGAGTTCAAAGAACTTCTATTAAATTTCTGGTTCTTCAGGGAAGCTTTGAGCAGGTGATTCCATCAACTTCAAGGAAACTGCTGGAACTTTAGAGAAGTTCTAAGAACTTCATAAATATCCACTGAACTTCAGAGAAGTGAAGAAAACTTCAAAGAATTTCAAAGAATTTCAAAGAATTTCAGCAAACTTGTGGAAACTTTAAATAAATTCCAAACACCTCTGGAAAGTTAAATATGTTTTTTTTTAAAGCTCAGAGTGCAAAAGGACAATGATTATAATCCAGAAATTTCATGATAAACTTCCGGAAATTTCAGGGATCTCCAGAAATTGTCAAGGAAGTTTAAATGTGGTTTTGACACTTTCATTTATTATAGGGGGCGACCCCGGCGTAGTGGTTCACATCCATACCTCTCACGCCAACGTCACGAGTTCAAATCTCACCCCCGGACAAGTCACGAATGACCCAAGAGTGTTAAAGTGACTATAATAAAAAAAAAAAAAAAAACTTTCATTTATTTCTGTAAACTTCCAATAATTTAAGAAGAATCAGGGAAGATCAGAGATCCTCAGGGCAGGAAAGTTAACATCAAAGAGATTACAGGATTTTTACAGAAGTTGCAAGAAACTCAGGGAATTTCGAAAACTTTGGTAAAGTTCCGAGATCTTCAAGGATGTCCAAAGAACTTCAGTGTAATAATCACAGAAGAACTTTGAAATTGTCCTTAGATGTCACTTGGAAATATTTATCTTGGAAATTTACATGAAACTTTCTTTCGAGTTCCCTGGGAATTCATATAAGAATTACTATGGTTCAGTCGCCAAATATCCCTCGAAGTATATTCATAATTATGTACCATTGAATGACTTTCGAAATTCCATATTAATAGGGTAGAGAACTACTTCGGCCTAATCGCCCATTTTGGGCCAATGAAGCAGAAAACATCACATAAATCCATGATTTCAGAGTTAACAAGTAAATTATGCGTTTGGTACGATACTTTAGTCAATAAGCTTCCAAACGAAGTCAATGAGAGCGCGTGATATTAATGTTTGCACCCATTATTCCCAAAAACAAAAGAAGCACTTCGACCAAATCAATTTAATCTTCATGCGATAGGCCGAAGTGAATTCATTGACAATTCAATGGCGTTTCAATGCGTTAGGCCGAGTTTAGAATCCGTAGGCCGAGTTTGGCGTCAAGAAGCAGTGTTAGACTTTTGACAATATCTCAACGATTGGTTTCTCTTTATCACATCTTACGGTATATACGGAAAGGTAAATAAATTTGGAAGCCATCAGTAATAATAACATTCCGTTTCTAATCTAATCTAATCTAATCTAACACCAACACAGCCAGTTCTTGAAAGCATCCTGGAAAATGATATATATACCTACATAATTTTTCTTGTCTATTTGATATATGTTTCACATCGAAGACGCGTCACACATATCAAAACGGCCAGGCCTACTGTGCAGCATTTAAGGGGCAAGATGATTCAGAAACATCGGGCTGTTTAAATCGAGGATGCTCCATTTTCTTCTGACGGTTGGGGCATGAGCACTAACTCTTGTCCTAGCCTTTTATGACTTATGGATGTAGCGCCATTACTCGCTTTCTGAAAAGAGAAGAGGGAAAGGAAAAGGACAAAGGGGACAAAGGGAAAAGGATTATGTAAACTCTACGAACATAAACAATATTTTTGAATTGAAATATACAATATAGAAATGCATAACGGTGGTGGTCACTACCCGAGTCTTGTCACTATTATCAAGTCACAAAAAGTAACAAGCACTAAAATGTAATCCTTTGATTACTGGAAAATCCTGATTTCCTAGTTTAAAGTTGTCATGACTAGGGTTCGGTGGTAGATCTTATACCAGTAACGCACCACAAAAAGGAGAGCTCCCAACGTTACTGGTTTGAAAAGATAAAAATTTACAAAATGGAACGAACTCACCAGGTTTAGCCAATTCAAACTGAAGGCTGCCGGACATTCGTTGATGTAGAAGTCCAAATAGTAGACGAAGCTTAACGAAGATCAACATGAACTAGTCCGGTTTATGGTAGTTGTGCGAAATATCGTCCGTCGATTTGAGATAAACGAATGATGTATGTAGTCGATTTTTGATGTGCATTGGCAAGCCTTTCCGTGGCCAAAAGTTAGGTTCAACGCTGCAACTCAACGAATGATGGAACTAATGATGGGACGTAGAGGTTCTACTTGGCTTCGGATTACCTTCTCAGTGCCATAATAGGGATTGAGGAACTAGAAATTGTCTCCTGGGCCTGGTTTTGGCCAGATCAGCAAGCGATTATAGATTTAAAAAAAACTCCACGGAAAAAACAAATTTCAGGTTCGATCACACGCACAGCCTACTCTCCAGGTATAATCTCAGTAATAATAACATTCCGTTTGGATCTAAACTGCACTAGATTAAGAAAGACTAAGTGCGGGTTGTGCTTAATAGGCCCGAAATGGGGTAGTTAACCCTACACCCAGAAAATCCACAAAATTCTTCTTTACTTGCAATTCTCCTCACTAGGGAAGGTCACGATAGTGTCGCCCGAGTTTTCAATAAGTCCCTTTTATTTTAAGATTCAGCATGACAACATATGACAAAATCCAAACTATTATCGGTGCATGCCAAGATACGTTGCCCAAGAAGGGGGGGGGGGGGGATTTTGAAGAATCATATTGGACTTATTTTTTTTTTAATTATTAATTAAATTAATTCACAAATAATAATCACAATTAAAGTTATAGTAATGTGCTTTAGAAAATTCCAGGAGAATCACCAAAGTCTCATATTCAGAATGATAATGAATATGAAAATAACTTGCTGAAAATGTTTCTATACAAACTTACCTCCAATTTTAAACAAAACTTAGAATCGTAAATTCCTCGGTGGGGTACATGAATGCAGTTGTGCTCAACAGATGATTAGGATGAAAACCTTACAGCTTACCATTCAGTTAGGATTATTGTATGCGAGATTATATGATAATATCAAAATCTCTTTGAACACAATCTAACCCTGAAAAAAACGCCTTTTGTAACTGTAAAATACTGAGATTTCATTCTTCCGTGTAAGGGCATTAGTGAAAAATGATCCTTAATTTATTTAGAGAAAATCCAGAAAACAATGATCCAAGGAAATGTGTGATATTCCAACAAAAAAAACACTTAGTTTTGCTAGCAACATCGCATAATTTATTGCATCATTTAGTAAACAACCTTCTCTCCACCAACTGGCACCGGGGCAACATAAACCGATCCAGGGGTGGCGGCAATCATATTCGACACTGGAACAACGCTCTTACCCCATCTGTGGTGGCTTCCGTATGCTCCGGCACCGTACGTTCCCCATGGTAGACCCCACGGATAAGCATGGCCTCCAAGATCCGCCTGAACAACGGTCTTGTGTCCATACAGACCGGATGGTCCAAAAGCAGATGCAACTGGTGCCGAGGACCAATCGTTAACGTATGGATAGGCCACCAGACCACCATCGTGGTGGTGTTGATTGTCCCTGGTGTTCCACGAGTTCCATGCCGGTGAGTAGGGCCAGGCCGCCGCAGCGGTGTTGATGCTTGGAAGATATGATCCTTGAGCTGCTACGGTAAGTGACGCGATCACGAGGGCGATGAAGGCTTTCATTTTGGTCGTTGGTAGGTTGATGTCTGTTTCTGATCGATTGAAGAACTGAAGAAGAACTGTGTCCAAATCAAAATCAATCATACAGTTTTATACAATTTGAGGCTTCTTGTATTGAAGAACACTTTCTGAAAAGAGCAGAAGCAACTAACTTGACGGTTCACTGACTTCGATGGAAAGGCACTGCTAGTGAAAGACACAGATTCATGGTTCATTGTTGCCATTTTCTGAAAAGATATACATACTTATGAAAAATTCTTGATAAATTATTTATTATGGTTGAAAATGCAAATGCAACAGATTGATCAGAATTAAAATCCCTAATCAAATCCTGCAATAAATGAACATCAACATTAACACTAAATACTCACTCACTACTAATTACAACGTTTGAAGAACGCATATCAAAACTTCTTACTTCGCCACAAATTATCACAATCTTTTTCCTCTCATTCATCAATGACGAGAGGACTCCACCCTTGTTAGCTGGGGCTGCTAACAGATTATCACTGTGGGGGGAGGTGGTATGTAGCCAGGATTCTCACCAGTTCGCAACCCACACAACGACAGCTACGTCAACAGGTGGGATCGAAACCGAAACGGGTGGTGTTGATTCGTCGTCGTCGTCGTCGTGAACTTCTTGGAGAATGCAGTCGCTCTGCTTAGTGCTGTAGGTACAACACCAATAGCAAATAGTATCTAAATAGGCAATTACTATTATTAACGGTCAATACTTTCGCGTTTGGATCACTGCGCGCGTGTGATTGGGGAGTTGGGGGTTGAGGGTTTTCCGAATGCAGCGCCCGCTCAATCCAGCCAAGGAGAGATCGCGATATTCTACGAGAGGCTCTGGAAGCGATCGATTTGATGTGGTTTAGTATAAAAGCTACTGCCGGGTTCTGAGTTGAAGCATAGCAAACTCAAGTGTTCAAACAATCAAACCTCAACCAACAAACCAAAAACCTCATCTACCACAATGAAGGTACAGTTTGGGTCTTATCAGTGTGTGATTCAAGTGATAACGAAATGTGTTTTGGTTCTATTTACAGTTCATCGTTGCCGCCGTTGTTCTTGCCCTGGCCGTCGCCTCAGAAGCTAGCTGGCCTGGTGCAGCCGGATATCCATGGGGAGGACCATGGGGTGCCACCGTTGTTCAGGCTAATGCTGGAGCATGGCCAGCCGCCCACTGGGCCGGAGCTTGGCCACATGCTGGAGCCTATGGTGCCTGGCCAGCCGCGCATTGGGGTGCCGGAGCTTGGCCAGCTGCTGCTCACTGGGGTGCCCCAGCTGCCTCGGTTGCTCACCATGGCGGAGTTGTTCCCGGAGCTACCTCGGTCACCGCCACCCGTGGTGCCGTCCATGTTGCCCCTCTGGCAGGACATGCCGTCTCCCAGCAGCAGTTGAACCTTGCCCCAGCTCCAGGAACCCTGTAAATTTGTTGATGCCAAAATGATGAATCTCAGCAGCAGATCGATGCTCAACCTCAAGATGATGAACAACTGCCATGATTGATTTAAACGAAGATTGTCAAACCGAAGTTCTGTGTTGTATGTATGAGTTTTTATTGTGTAAATAAGTAGAGGAATTATTTACTCCTCTCTAAATAAATGTGAACTCTTTTAAAATGAATTTGTTGAAATTTTATTAATTATTATTTATTATGTATATCACATTTCGAGTTTGTTACCTTATTCAGGATAATAGCCCAATATGTTTTCCATGATCCTGAATTGATTTGCTTAATAATATAAGCAGTTTGTATTTGCTCTAAAACTAACATAAATATGGCTCCAAAAAATCATCAAAATAATCATCTGTCATTGTAAGATCATGGTGGGCTTATGGCAGCTGAACGTCACCCAGTTCTGCCAAATATAAATATCAATACCTACAAAATGCTGAATTTCACTAGCCACATGATGTCAGTATCAGTTCACACAGTAAAAATATCAGTATCATCCGCTTCAATGCCAGTGCGTAAATGACATTTGCATCGTAAAGGGACCACCGATATTCAAAGTTCTGCCGCTAATACGCCTGCTAATCGAGTATCGATCTTTAGAAAACTTATCAGTAATATTAAAACAATGCAACGGTTATACACAGAAGCTAATTTATTGAGATAAACGTAAGATTTTCAAATTTTCCCTAGTGATATTCATATGGATAGTAAGATCAATGCCGTACCACCTGATATCATGCCTACTAGGAATATAAGCGTCGGAAGTGAAATTCAGTGCTAGACCAATATCTCACGTCAATTGACATTGTTGACAGCACGCAGCACCAGCGTTGCCAGATTGTTTTAAAACTTATCGGTATCAAAGGTATTTAAAAATCGGTATTTATCGGTACCTATTGACTATTTTTTAAATTTTCTATTTTTCCCGTTTTTGAAAGCGAACATTTTAACGATGGTCACGACTGGGATTTGAGGGGAATTGCTTTGTTTGACGGCTTTCTCAGTCTTAAAAAACTCTTTATTTCATTTTTTTAAATTTTTGTTGTCCTTAAGTGGTGATCAAAATGGTCACCAAGCACTGTTTTTTTTTTCAATTAAATATCATTAAATGAAACCAAAATATGGAAAATCAGCCATGATTTAACTACTGGCAATAACGACAAAAAATATTTTCCCTTGAAATGGCGGAAATGTCGTGCAGATTACATTGTAGTCGTTGCATTGTTTTAAGACTGAGAAAGCCGTTAATCAAAGCAACATTTTAGCTTCTGAACGAAAAATTCCGGAAGAAAGCACCGGGGAATGTTTGAATTAGTTTCTGAATGGAGCTGGAAAAATATCCAGAGAAATACGAAAGAAGCTCTACTGGATGAAGTTCGAGAAAAGCTGGGAAAACCTCCGGGAAACTTCAAGGCACGAATTGAGAAACTTGTGGCGAAAATTTAAATAAACTATCGGAAAAAATCCAAAGGAAGCCAGAAAATTTTCGGAAACCGGAAGTAAGCCATTTTCAGGGAAAGCCAGAAGAAGCTCGGAAAAACCTTCCAATAGAAGTCGAATAAAAAAAACTTTAACTTATGGTCAAACTTCCAGAAGAAGAGGAAAGAAATTTCTTGGAGGATTAATTGAACTTCCTTGAGAAGACGAAATAAACTTCCTGGAGACGCTGGCAGAAACTTCCTAAGGTAGATTGAAACAAACATCTGAAGAAAGTCGGAAGCCAGAGCGTTTACGGAACAGTCGAGAGAAACAAGGACATTATTCCGGAAGAAAGAGATTCCTGGGGGATACAGAAAATGTTTCAATGATGATCCAATGATCCAGAAAATTTTCCTGATATTCAAAAAACATCCCTGAAGACTCAGAAATTTCCCTGAGGTTTTCAGAACATTCCTGAAATACACTTAGGAATATTCCATAATTCCCCGAAATTCCTTAAAAGTTCTTGTAATTTTCCGGAAACTATGGGCTGTTTTGGAGTTCTCTGGTCATCTTCGAAGCGAACTTCCCTGATTGTAATAAAACTACTGGAATATCTCTAATTATCTTAGAAGGTCTCTGGATTTTTTTGAAGATTACGAAATCACTTAAGTGCTCTCACAATGTTCTTGAATTTATTATAACATAAGTATTGAAGTTCTCTGATCTTCCCGATTTTTTTTATTTTTTTAAAATTATCGACACTGCCATTAAAAAACATAGAACTTCCCATAAAATGTTATCACAATGATCTAATGTTCATGTAACTTCCCTTACGTTTCCTAAATTTGCATGGACATTGCTGAAGTTTTCGGAAATTGTCTGAGTTTCTCGGAACTCCTTTATAATTTCAGAAATTTGATCTGTCCTGATCCTCTCTGAGCTTCACTAAAGTTCCTGAAAACCAATAAGTTACCCTGAAGTTCTTTGGACTTGTGAAGTTTTCAAAATATTTATGATGTTTCCTTAAGTTCACTGGACTTTTCTGAAATTTCCGGGTTTTCGAATTTTAAGAGAAATTAATGAAACTGTCTTTAATTAATCGAAACTTACACAAAAGTCTGGACTTTTCTGAAGTTTCAGAACTTTTTAAATGTGCCTGCAGCGAGTGTGGATCTGCAATAAAAATCTGATAGCATCCTTGAAGCTCCGGGAAAGTTAAAAAAAAAGCTGGCGGGAGAAGATGAAAGAATCATTCGAGCGAAGGCTGAAGAAGCTTCCAAGGTAAGGTGGAAGAAAATTCCAGGGAAAGTTGGATGAAACTTCAGGAAGTTTTAAAATGAATAAAAACTTCCGGAAGTTAATTAATGTTTAAAATATATATCTCGATTCCCTAGGAATTACGAGAAAGACCCATCGACCATTTCTCGATTGATGGGTTGCCAAAAACGGTGAGGAATGCAAACATTAGTCGAAAGAGTATCAAGCATAAGGCATCTTTAGAGATTATTGTTTAGAATTTTGAAGGCAAAAAAAAATAGTGGGTGTTCAAAAAGATACAAGTCTCTCACAAAAAATTTCTCTGAAAATCGATCGAAAAATTGATTATTTAAAAAAACGGTATAAATCGGTATAAAATCTTAAAAATCGGTATTCTGAGGAACCTTATCTGTATATCGGTATCTTGTTTGAAAATCGGTATAAATACCTATAAATCGGTATATCTGGCAACGCTGCGCAGCACAGGCCCAGACAATAGGCTAAAGCAAGCTCAGATATTTCCAGTAAAGAGCAGTTCCACTCCAAATAACGAATCGGAAAAACTCGACCTTCTCCGATCTACATTTAAACTTTGCATAATTCAAGCTGAACATAGCATTAGGTCCTAAGTAACATTGAAAGTCGACGAAGAGAATTGATCAATGTTACTTAGGACCTAATGCAATGTTCAGCTTGAATTGTCTGTTTTGAGAAATGATTCACATTTGTGCTGAAATTCGGCCATTTGGGATCTTGTAAATTTCTCAAAATGGCGCCTGAGCAAATCCACGCCAACTGACGAATCTGAAAAACTCGATCTTCTCCAATTTGCATGAAACTTTGCATAACTGTTTGTTAACATTTTTACAAAAATCAGCCATTTCGGATGTATATTTTTTTTTTCAAAATGGTGTCTTTGTAAATCATTACTAAATTGTAGCACGAAAACATTACTTTTGATCGAGATGACGGCCAAGAGAGAAAAAAATCTTTCTGGCAAAAATATACATGGTATTTTCTTGTAGTAGGGTAATTGATTCTGGTTGGACCTATCCAAAAACTGATGATGGTTGGACCTATTTTTTTCAATCGCTAGTTTAGTCAATCTTCACTAATTTTTTATTTTCAAAGATCACTTTACTCTCATAAAAAACTCTTTTTCTTCAATTTGCATGGGTGTTTTATTGAAAAAACTTCAAAACAATTGAGTTTCAAAGTGTTTTAAAAACAGTTCACTTTCCACGCATTAGCTCGTCATCATACCGTACTTTCAAACATACAAAAATTGAATATTTTTTACATTACATACACACTGAGCAGAACATCATGGGTTTAATCTCATACACCTTCGCATTCAAGAGTCGTTCCCGAGTAATACAAATTCATAGAATTATGTTGAGTAAACTGCTTTACAACCAAAACTAGTCATATAAAGGTTATTTTAGATTGTTACAGAACATGTGTGTTGCTTGGGGTTAGTCTTTCCACATAATGTATCATGGACCGGTGGAGGTAACCTATACGTGACTAGTTTTAGTCACAATCAAGCTACTGCAACCTTTAGTAACAGATGTGTGCTACTTGTGGAACCCATCACTGTAATTCAGTGTACCGTTTGCCAAAACGAACCTTGCTGCATACCCAACCCTTTTATATAACGATCGCAGTGAGTTCTCGTGGAAGTTCAGAGGATTTCTCGGCTTCCAACAAAGCGAGTATCGCGTCAACACATTCCTTATCATTCCTTACTTGACCTGCATTTGGACGCGGCCGGCACTGGTATTGCATATTATAAAGTTTGAGATCGCCAGTTTATGCATATTGAAGATGATAACTAGCCCCTGTTGGCTCTCGGTGTGATTACAGGTGATCTGGCAATAACGGAGTAGCAACCGCGGGCAGTCAATCATGCTCATGCTCATTATCATGTCCAAATTAGCGCTGAAGGACATTGTTTACTCCCTGACGATAATATGTAAAGGAATTATAGTCCGTCCGTTGTCGTCAATTCCCCTATGTAAGAAATGTTCTTATAAAATGCTAATATTTTCGTTTAAGTCAAAATTTACCCTTGAGTTTGCCACCAATCACAAAATCCTTAAAACGACTCCTTAAAAAAAAAATCCTTAAAACGACTCTGTATGTAATTTAGAAATGGATCGTTCTCTGGAGTAGCATTAATAACTTTTTATATAGAAAGCGTTAATTCCAATTTAATATTCAATTCCATGGGAAATTTTGAAGATGGATAGGGTGAATAATGCCATTAATCAATCGATCTTTTTGAAGATGCATTATCTGACAATTAAATTGGACTCAAGTAAGCTAGCTTCTATCAAGTAAAAAACGATGCTCCAAAGACCGATCGATTCTTGATGGAAGGATATGTATAATTTTGATTCAAGATATACAAAATTTAACAGACATTGGAGAATCAATTAATTGAGCTGGATAATCTGCATCCC